ACAAAGAGGTTCCCTGAAAAAAGGTATAGGTTGCTCACCTAGCAGAGATATCATGCCCAAATAATTCTTAATTTCTCTGGGCCTCAGTTTTCTTAACTGTAAAATGAGGTTCCTAACCCAAGATATCTCTAGATTCTCTTCCAATCCTATGATACCAAAAGCTGGGAGGCAAGTACCTTTACTACATTGAACTGGGTCTTTCAACAATTCCTTTAAAACAAAAGCAATTTGTCTTTTGCTCAGCTTCTTTAGGGCACCATTCTGCCTGTGCACCAACATCTTTTCTGTTGACCACTTGTGCCCTCTAGTGATAAATTCAATTATACAACAGGATTGGCTTGGAAAACAGCTCCAGAGTAAACAGGGAAAACAGTAAGAAAGCAATAGATAAAATTCAATGTAAAGGAAATGGAATCCAGGCCAAAGATGCAGGTTAAAAAAGATGGAAATAATCCAATGGTCATTACCTTCTGTGGTGTACCTATGCTTGTTCCCTCCAGGGCAAACATTCTATGTGATTACTACTATAGTAAAGAAAACAGCAAACACACTGCTGAATATAAACGCATTTTCAGATATAATTAGAATAACCCTATTCCTCAAATTAAGATGCAGATTATTTTTTATTTAGAAAGACAAAGGATCTATTAAGATTCTCAGAGACTGTCATATACCTAATGTGGATAAACAAAACAGAATTGTTTTTAAACACATCTGTCAAGCAGGTGCTAAGATGCCAATTTTATATATTCATGTTAGTTTCACTGGTGCATGGGTTTACCAATGGGGATGGGTTCGGACTAAAATTATGTACTATGTTGGGCTTAAGAAGGGTCCCCAGCCTTCTAAGCATGTTCCTTGCTGTCCCCAGCATAGCAATGCATGACTAGTCTATCACATACTCTCTTCTGAAAAATTTTAAATTGATGCATTATAATAGTACGTATTTATGTGGTACAAAGTGATATTTCAATACATATATGCAATATGTAATGATCAAATCAAGGTAATCAGCATATCTATCACCAAAAATAATTTCTTTGTGTTGGAAACATTCAAAATCCTCTCTTCTAAATATTTGAAAATACACAATAAATTATCATTAACTATATTCACCCTTTAGTGCTACAGAACACTAGAACTTATTCCCCTACCTGTAATTTTATATCTGTTAACCAACCTCTGACTGTCCCCCTTTTCCAGACTCCAGTAACCATAATCCTACTCTCTATTTCCATGAGCTCAACTTTCTAAGATCCTACATATGAGTGAGAACATGAGGTATTTATTTTTCTGTGACTGACTTATTTCACCTAACACAATGGCTTCCAGGATCATTCATGTTGCTGTGAATGACATAATTTCAGTTTTCTTTATGGCTAAATAGTATTCCACTATGTACGTATACCACATTTAATTTATCTATTCATTTATTAATGGACATTTAGGTTGATTCCATATCCTGGCTATTGTGAATAGTGCTGCAATAAACATAGGGGTGCAGATATCTCTTTGAAAGACAGAGAGTGAGACTGAGAGAGAGAGAGATAGAAAGAGCGGGAGAGAGACAGAGCACGAGAGAGAGCAAGAGCACCAAATCCTAACCACTAGACCACTAGGGAGCATTATCTCTTTGATACACTGTTTTTCTTTCCTCTGGATAAATACCCAGTAGTGGGACTGCTGAATCATATGGTAGTTCAATGTTTAGTTTTTGAGGAACCTCCATACTGCTTTCCATAATGGCTACAATAATTTATATTCCCATCAATAGTGTATTAAGAGTTTCTTTTTCTCTACATCCTCACTAGGTTTTGTTATTTTTTGTCTTTTTGATAACAGCCATTCTAAGAGATCAGATGATCTATTTCATTGTGGTTTTGATTTGCATTTCCCTGACCAAATATTCTATTGACAGCAAACATTATGGCCATTCCTGACCATATATCTTACCTGTATATAAATGTTGGTTACATTTTTCTTGTTATATAAAAAAGGAAATGAACTTCAATGACCTCAATAGAGATTCAGTTTAAACAACAGAAAGGTCTCCTAAACCATGCTGTTGTCACTGCTATATAAGTGAAGTATTAAACAATCTTCTTTTGAAATCTCTAAGAAGAGGGGGAAAAAAACCATAGGTATTTTGAATCATTTAGGTCTAACTCTGACTGGAGGCATAAGATAAAAATAATAACCATTAAAGCTTCCTTTCTAGCATTAAAATTAAATATTATTGGCTGGGCATTGTGGCTCATGCCTATAATCCCAACATTTTGGGAGGCCAAGGCAGGAGGAATGTTTGAGCCCAGGAATTCGAGACCAGCCTGGGCAACGTGGTGAAACCCCGTCTCTAGAAAAACTCCAAAAATTAGCTGGGCGTGGTGGCTTGCACCTGTAGTCCCAGCTACCTGGGACGCTGAGGTAGTAGGATCACTTGAGCCTGGGAGGTTGAGGCCACAGTGAGCCATGATTGCACCACTGCACTCCAGCCTGGGTGAAAGAGCAAGACCCTGTCTCAAAAAAAAAAAAAAAAAAAAAAAAAAATTAAACATTATTGCTGGTTGATTTCTATCTTTTCCATTCAATTCTCTGTCCTGAGAGGCAACCACTCTTCTGATTTCTATCACCATAAATTAGTATCGCTTATTCTTGAGCATTAATGATGAAATGTTTTAAGGTGATGGGAAAGTTCTGTATCTTGATTTGGGTAGTGGTTATGCTGGTACATACAAGTGTCAAAACCCAGGAAACACTGTATTTAAAATCTGTGCATTAATTGTAAATTATATTTCAGTTAAAAAAAAAGATATTAGAGTCTTGGGAAGAGATAACTTTAAAAATAATAGATACTATCACTCTTAAGGAGTGGGCTAGGGAAGAGAAGGAAGTCGGCATGACCTCAATAGCAGATATAGTTTTATTGAATCAAAAACCAAGAAAGGAAAGAGCTGCCCTGGCTTCTCAACTGTATCCATGCTGATTAGTTAACAGCACCATTTCAATAGAATGCCCCCCACTCTGACTGGCTCATTTGTTGTTGCAGAGCTGAGTTAACTGTACTGCCTGATGGATGAAAATGGATTTAGGGTAGAGAGGTGGTCATAAGATACTACTGATTGTCTTGAAGTAGAAATGTAGGAATTTACACTGGGTCATGATGAGGCATGTGGCTCTGTAGGCCCATATAGATAACGGCATCATGCCTGCTAGCATTAGGAGAGAGTGCTCAAGGGAGAAAAACAGTTAAGAATTTAACTGAAATAAATGAAACAAGCAAATATAAGACTCTGACAAAAAGGATGCCTCACCCTATGCTGATTCATTATCAGCCTTTCTTTCTGCACTATTGGCGAGGCTGGAGATAGGAACTTGGAATATATTTCTTACAGCAACCCCTAGCTTACCTGCATAAATTCAAATGTACCAGTCCAGAGATACTGGGCTGTTTATTCTTTTTGATTCACATTGTTGTTTTCTTGACACATGGTAAACACTAGTAAATGCCCTTTGCAATTGGGTGTGTGGAGTATTTTTAGTCTGACAAATGCCTTCCACATCAAACCGCAACAGTCTCTGCTTTTCTTCATACTTTCAAGTCAACAGTCCTAAAGTAAAATTCTCTAGGAAGTTCTGCTTCCTAGAGATCAAGATTAAGATCAAGATCATCTTAATTTTCCTTACTTGGTACCCTGTAGGCTAGGATTTTCCACTGCCAAGAAGATTAGAAAAGTAGAGAAAAGAATTTTCACTAGCAAAAGACATTCTTAGACCACAAAAACTTCCCTTTTGCAATTCCCTGGATTTAAATGGCCTATGTAATTCTGTATGGGTAATGTTCCATTTCAGTACTCTATAATCTATAACTCAGATCCTCTGAGTTGTATTTCCTGAGTTACATATTCTTTAGAGTTATAATTCCCCAAAAGAACTTTCCTGTATTCACTCTTCCTACCTCCAAAAGCCTTTCCAAGCCCCTTGAAGAAACTAAGAATTGCTGTAATTTATACACATACACACATGCACACACTCTTGCTCCAAGGAACCTCTATATACTATTTCCACACCACACAGCTTGCCTTTATGAAGTAGCCCCAGCTTCAACCAAGGACAGGCAATTCTCACCTATGTCACCATTAGTCATTAAAGACACTACTTTCTGGAAGGCTACTATTGTCTGTTTTGGATCTAGACAAAAATATAGGCAGATAAATGACAGTATATTATTTATATCTTCTCTGCTAATGATGAGTTAGATGTTAATTTTCAGTACAGGTTATTAAATACACTCTGAGAACATACTTCCCATAAGTTGCAGGATACAAAAAGGTCATCTTTTTATTAATTTCAATAGAAAAGCACGTGTATTTCAAGTAATTTAGTCAAAACCAATTTCCTTCCTTCTTGGAAAACAGTACTGAAAAGAAAACCACCACCAATCATGTCTGAGTGGCTTACAGGAGCCTGGAGTATCTTCAGAAAAGCTGAACTTAGGCCTTTCACTGCAGGGAAGAGTTGGATGTCAGGCCTTAAAAGGTCAGAGTTATATAAGATGCCAGATGTTTAATCTTATCTCAAAGTAAAATATAAATGACTTGGGGACTGTCTGATGTTTTACATTCTCCACATTTATGTCCCTCTCTATTAGTGTGGATCCAAAAAGGAACTGGTATTACTTTTCATTCAAAGATTTCAAAGTATTTCATATAATCCAATAACATACTCAGAAGAGAGAAAATGATGGATCCTATAACAGGGTGAAAGATTGGCAGCAGGCAAAGAAAAATGTAGGAAACTGGTTCAAGAGCACAGGCATTGTTATACCACATGAGAAAACAGTACCACAAACTAACACCTGCCCCATCTCTTAGAGGAATGTCTATCTCCAAACTCCCTCTCAACTAAAATCTGCATTAAGTCTTGCTCTTTCTTCTACTAAAATTATATACAAGAGCAAGACTGTGCTCTCAAGAGACAAGCCTCACTGGTTTGTCACTTACCCATGTTTCTTTGACCTCTTCAGAGCCATCAGTTTCATCCTCCTAAAAAAGAAAAAGGAAGAAAATCAAGAGGCTCATCGTCAGAGACATCCTTGAAAGCAACAAGGTCAGATCCCATCAATTATGCATCTTGGCATTTCAAACATGGGCAATGAGAATTGACTTCCAAGTGATGCTCTGTTACTGCTACTTTTCACAGCCATCACAGGCAGGCAATTTAGAAATGTCACCTGTAGTCTAAAAAGTCAAATAGACCACAATTGGAAAAGGGATTTTTTTTTTTTTTTTTTTTTTTTTTTTTGAGACGGAGTCTCACTCTATAGCCCAGGCTGGAGTGCGGTGGCCCAATCTTGGCTCACTGCAAGCTCTGCCTCCCGGGTTCACGCCATTCTCCTGCCTCAGCCTCCTAAGTAGCTGGGACTACAGGCACCTGCCACCACACCCGGCTAATTTTTTGTATTTTTAGTAGAGACAGGGTTTCACCTTATTAGCCAGGATAGTCTCAATCTCCTGACCTGGTGATCCGCCCACCTCAGCCTCCCAAAGTGCTGAGATTACAGGCGTGAGCCACCGTGCCCGACCGGAAAAGGGATATCTTTAAGACAGATGACAGACAGACAGACTTAATTTCATCTTTGTCAATACTTATCAATTTGGCCCTATAACAATAAAATACTTTTATCTAAAAATAATTTATAATAGATGACTACTACTGTCTCATTTCTTGTCTCACTGAATAAAGTTTGTCCAATTTTCAAATGAGTCATTGGTAGGCAGGGTCCTCTTGTCCAAGTTATTGGCCACTTGTTCTTTAAAATGCCAATAATAAGGTTGAATGAGAAGGGTACCAAACAAGATATGGAAGAGGACGAATGGAACTACTGAGTGTGTATTTGTGGTTAGTAAACATTGGTATATCTGTCTTTATTTGAAAGCCAAAGTTTATCTATTTTATGTTATTTGTTCTTTTTCTCCAAAAGAGTAAAACTAAGTGACCTTGTATTACTTAGAGGTTTTAAGTTCCTTGAACTTCTTGTAGTACTCCTACAATATTTAGTTAGAATCTCTGCTCATGTGTGGCATTAAGATATTGTTGACTCAGGGCGACAGAGCCAGACTCTGTCTCAAAAAAAAAAAAAAAAAAAAAAAAAAGATATTGTTGACTCACTACATGACATTCAGGGAATATTAGGAAGGACTACTAAAACTTGACAAGCTTATTCACTTCTTATATTTGTTTATATGGCTGTTGTATATTTCCAGTTTTTTAATTCTTTGCCAATTATTTACTGAGTGCCTGCCATGTGCTTAGCACTGTACTAGATACTGGCAATCTAGCAGGAACATACCAAATGAGTCCCACACTAGTTAGGTCTTTCTTCTCTTTTCCTCAGTAATACTTCCTGAGAATCTGCAAGATTCATGGCACCATGTAGGACTCTTTCTTTTAAACTCAACTGAAAGGATGGTGGCCAAGAGTAATATGATATGCATCAGCACAGACCAGTCCACTTACATCCTTTGTCCAGAAATTGATGCCTGTACCTCTTCGTCGTTCCTTGGGCCGCCTCCTCTCTCGGACGGACAGCCTCCTAGAATACTGCTCATCCAAATCTGCTTCTTGATTCTCTGGCCAGAGATAAAATAAAGTATGAACTTTAAGAATCTGGGGGATGTGCACTGTGGAGGGGCCTGTGTCTTTTGAAGCTCTACATACCATTTTTGTCCATTTCCTTTGCAGTTGTAGTATTTGTGGTAGTCTTTGAACTCTCAGAATCAGGGACTGAAAATCTATTTGTCCGTAGCAAGTGGGAACTGGTGTAGAGTGAGGGTCTTGATGTAGAAGGAGATGCTGGCGTGGTGGGTTTGTCTGGCTGAGTTGGGCACCTCAGGCGATGACAGATAGGCTGGAAATAATCCACAACATGAGATACTAGAAGTCAAGTCCATCTAAAGGATAAGGACAGCAGGATTATACAAAATGCTTTTTTTTCTATATTAAGAGGCTTATGAGTAGATGACGATCAATACTGAGTACCTGGGAATAGGTCCTCAATAAGTGAACTAAGCTAAAGTCAGTTAATTAGACAGAAAAAAAAAACAGCTGCTAGACTCCTACTCTGAGAATCCCATCATGTTGAGAGCAGTTCAAGCGAATTATTCATCAAGTGACCAAAGGGTACTACATAGCATTAACTGTGTAAAAAAAATTCCTTTGATCTTGGAATGAAAACAAGAATGATGGCCTTTTTAAGATGGAGTGCTGAAAGGCAAGGTTTATGTAGGGAAACAAAAAGATCAGGAGCATTAAGCAGCAGAATGTAGGGATTATCTGAGAACAGAGAACAAATGTATCCTACTGAGTTCTGAATACTCTACCAGCTTGCCATAACCAGGCTTATTGAAACTTTCTAAAGTTCCCATTTTCCTTTTTGTAGTTTTGTTTTGTTGTTTTCTTTTTCTTTTTTTTTTGGAGATGGAATCTTGCTCTGTTGCCCAGGCTGGAGTGCAGTGGCGCGATCTTGGTTCATTGCAACCTCCGCCTCCTGGGTTCAAGCAATTCTGCTTTGTTGTTGTCTTTTTTTTTTTTTTTTTTTCAACCTGAGAGTTAGGACAGATAGAGCCTAACAATAAGCCTTAACTTGGTTTATGGAAGACTCAGAGATAGATAAATCCTTACTACACATTAAATTTATGACATAGAGATTGTACACATTTTTGTGATTTATAAAGACACATACAATAAAATGTAGTACATTTGGAGTCAGACAGATCTTTGTTCAAATTCTAGCTTCAGCACTTACTAGCTGTGTGACCTTGAATAAGTTACTTAGCTTCTCTGAGCCATAACATCCTCATCTATAAAATAGAGATAACACCTTCTTCAGAGAGGATTATGAGGATTAAATAAGAAAATGTGCATTAGGTGCTTAGAAGAATAGCTGGTAATAGGTACTTAATAAATAGTAGCTTATAAAACAAACAAAATACAAAATAGAACTTCAGTTTATGGAATCTAGCCATTCAGAGTCAAAGCAAGAAGGAGATTACTTTCCTCTATAACCACAGTGACCATAATATTTATCTGTCCAAACTGGGACACTTTTGAGAGTGCAAAGGAGTGGTAATGATAATTGCACAAAGACAACAGTTGTAATTGGAACCATCTTAGATAAACCACGAGTTATGTTCACCCTAAATATAAACTTATACCTTTGACTACCAACTCCACTAGAGAAATGAAACATAAATCAAAATGTCCTTCCCAACGGTGACACTCATGAGTGCTTTGTAAGCCCTTAGGTTATAAGAGTTTGAAAAACAATACACTAGCAGTTAAGAGAGCAAGCTGTGGAGTCAGGCTGCCTATGTTCAAACTCTGGCTTAACCACTTCTTGGCTATGTGAAATGTTGGGCAAATTCCTCAACCTCTGTGATTCAATTTCCTCATATATAAAATAGAAATAGTAATATTTACCTCAGAGGGTTGTTATGAGGATTAAATGCATTAATACATAAGAAGTATACTTAAAATAGTGCCTGGCATAAAGTAAGCATGTATTGAGTAAAGTAAACACTCAATACATGCTTATATTTTTAATTTGCATTTTGTCATACTACGGTCTCTCTTTTTAGAATAGAAGGACATTTATTCAAAAGCATCAGTGAACTCTCAGGAGAAAAAAAAATGGTCATTTAAGGACCAACATCCTCTAAATTTTTGTCACACAGGTTTCCCAACTAAAGACAGCCATACAGAGTAAGTTGTCCATCGCAAGGTAGAACACAGCCTTTGAACTATCAGTGAAGAAGACACTCCCCAAACTAATTACCCTGCTTTTAGCACAGTACATGACAGCAAAAATGAGCTCACCTCTTCATCCAGACTCCTGCCCCACGGCTGCTGGCCCTCCCCAGCTTCTGTTGCTGGAACTGCTGAGGGCTCATGCTTCTCAGGGCTCCCCTCAAGCCCTTCAGTGTCTGTGGGCTTCTCACAAGGCTGCTCCTGAGCTTGCCTCTCTGCCCTCGACCGGCTGAAAGTCCTTTCTGCTTCCTGAAGGTCCGTTAGGGTGACACCCTGGGAAAATATCACAAGATCAGGGCTGATTCACACTAACCATGGAATAACTCTTGATTGAGCAGCAGTATTCCCAAAAAGATCTAATAGTTATCAAATACCAAAATGAAGCCCCCCAAAATGCATAATGAGGTCACTCCAAGCAATACATGCTTAAAATAAGCATCTCACTGTACAAAGAACCCAGGCCTGAGTCTAGGTATATTTTGAATGTAATACTTTAGTTTTTCTAGTTTGATCTCCAGAAAATAGGTCAACATTGATGTCTGCCTGTTATAGATGTACTTTTTCCATACCAAATAGTTCTCCGTATCTTTATTTGAAAGGTCCCTACCCTCCCAAGATCAAATGGTTATGAACAGAGATTCTCTAAACAGCAGATACTGGGAAAAAAATTTCACTTAAAAAAAGAAAAACCTAGCTCAACAAGATGAAAATTCAGAGCTAGGCTAGAATAACAACAACACAACCTCTTAAAACTCCTAGACTAGCTTTTCTCTAACATCAATTCCCAAGTCACTCTAGGAATCATATATGGATATTCCAACAATTAATGTTCGCCCCGCAGGGTCATAGGGGCAGCAAGACAGAAGAAAGGCAAATGATGACAAAACTACAGGAGAAGGGAGAAAAGGAGTTTAGAAAGAGCATGAGTTGATTCCAACTCAAGTAGTTATGTGCGTGAGTCCTCAGAAGAAGGAAGTTCCAAAGCTGGAAGGTAGTTGATCAGGTACCGTATCCACAACTTGCTTCCCCTCCCCACACCTGGCTTTTTTACTATTAATTCATTTACTTATTCATTCTGTTAATAAAGAATTAGGTGTCTTTAGGCACTAGAACTACAAAGGCAAATCAAATGATTACTGTCAAGAACCTTTTAGTCTAGCAGAAAAGACATAAGAAAACAGATGAGTATAATGAGAGAATGTAAGTATTAAAACAGAAACACAGGAGTATATAAGAGGAATACTTAACACTGGGTTCTAAAGAGTAAAAAGAACTTGGGTAGGGGGAGGGAGAAAAGGCATTATAGGTAGAGGCATCCTGTACAAAGATACAGAAACAAGAGAGGCCATGGATGATTTAGAAATATGTAGGTAACATAGCAAAGATGAAGCACACAACAAAAAAAGGAAAGTGGGAGGAGAGAGGGAGAATGAGGATAGGTGATTTGAGGAAAGCAGGCAGAGGCTAGGTCATAACAGATTTTGTAAGCTATGCTAAGAAGCTTAGATTTTACTTTCTTTGGGAGTCAGTGGTCCCTTTGAGAATCTCATGAAGACTACTGAGAATCTAATAAAATCTCCTCAAAAATTATGTACACATTTCAAGGAGTTCAAAGATCTATTCAAGTTTTGACATGGACCTTCACTCCCTCTCTACTGAATCTTTCCCTCTAAGACGGTTCTATGTTCCTGTCTCTCCCACCTTCAATTCTATGCCCCTCTCCAGCAACTTCCCCATCTTTTCCCATTCCTTCATAAACAAACTTGAAATCAATCCAGAGCAATTTATCTTCCCATATCATTTATTTCTCACTCATTTATTTAATCAATAAATATATAGTGATTTATTTACTGTATGATGGTGGAAAAGATGATCAAAAGTATAGTCAGTCTTCTTTTTCACACCCATTAGGATGGTTACTACCAAAAAAACCAGGCTGGGAGTGGTGGCTCACACCTGTAATCCCAGCACTTTGAAAGGCCAAGGTGGGTAGATCACTTGAGGTCAGGAGTTCAAGACAAGCCTGGCTAACATGGTGAAACACCATCTCTACTAAAAATACAAAAATTAGCCAGGTGTGGTGATGGGCGCCTGTAATCCCAGCTACTTGGGAGGCTGACGCAGGTGAATTGCTTGAACCCTGGAGGCAGAGGTTGCAGTGAGCCAAGATCACACCATTGCACCCTAGCCTGCGTGACAACAGCGAAACTCCATCTCATAAAAACAAACAAAAAAAACCAAATATTGGTGAGGATGTGGAGAAATTAGAACCCTTGTGCACTGCTGATGGGAACATAAAATGGTACAGCCGCTAAGGAAAACAGCATGGGAGTTCCTCAGAAAATTAAAAATTGAATTACTGTATGATCCAGCAAATTCCATTTCTCGGTATATACCAAAAGAATTGAAAGCAGGGTTTCAGGGAGATATTTGTATAGACATTCTCATAGCAGCATTAAATAGCCAAAAGGTGGAAGCAACCCAATGTCTACTGACAGATGAATGGATACACAAAATGCAGTATCCATAAAAGGCTGAAATATTCAGCCTTTAAAAGGGAGGAACTTTGACACATGCTACAATGTGTCATGTATCATGATGTGTCAGGTATCATGGATGAACCTTGATAACTATGCTAAGTAAAATACAACACAAAAGGACAACTACGATATGATTCTACTTATTTGAGGTTCCTAGCAGTCAAGTTCATAGACAGAAAGTGGAAGCGGGGTTGCCAGAGGGAAATGGGGAGTAATTATTTAATGGATACAGAACTTCAGTTTGGGAAGAGGAAGAAAGTTCTAGAGATGAATAGTGGTGATAGTTATACAACGATGTAAATGTACTTAATGCCATTAAACTGTGTAAACTTAAAAATGGTAAAACTGGTAAGTTTTATGTTAGGTATATTTCACCACGATAAAACAAAACAAAAAAACAGTCAGTCTTGGTCCTCATGGGGGTTACATTCTAGTGGATGAAACAGACAATCATCAAGTAAAAATAAAGGAAGAATATATAACCTACTTTGGGAGAGTCAAGGAAGACAACAAGCGTGTTTTTGCTGCCATATATAATGTCTCCTTTCCAGTGATCAAATTTGCTACTTGACCTCTGTAGTATTCAAAACTGTGGAACTTCTCCTTTTCACTGGAAATGGACTTTTCATTCACTTCCATGCTGCTACTATTTTCTGATTTTCTTTTCACCGCTCTTGCTGCTTCTTTTCATCCTGCTTCAGGGGCTCATCTTTCTTTGCTTCTTTAAATAAGAAATTCATAGCCTTCTCTCCATTCTCATTGTTATTACAACTTGATTTCATTGCCTTGTAATTTCCTGGGACTACAATACAGCTTCCCAGCAAGTCTTCTTGCTTCCAGGCTTGGCAAACGTACCTCTACCTACCATTCCCATCAATTATCTGCAGGGTGATTTTTCTAACACATAATGTAGACTATGTCATATTCCCTTAAACTGCTTCAATGACTCCCTCAGGGATTCCTTTTGTAATATCTTTATTAAAATACAATCCTTATATCATATAACTCACCATTTGAAAGTATACAATTCCTTAGTTTTTAGTTTATTCACAGTTATAAAATTATTACCACATCTAATTTCATAACATTTTCATCACCCCAAAAATAAACCACACACTCACCATTCTGCCTTCACCCTAGCCCTGGCACTAATCTAATTTCTGTCTCTTTGGATTTGCCTATTTGGGACATTTCATATAAATGGAATCATATAATATATGGAGTGTTTTTTGCCTGGCTTCTTTCACTTAGCATAATGTTTTCTCAAGGTTCATCCATGTTGTAACATGTATCAGTACTTCATTTCTTTTTATTGCCAAATGGTATTCCATTGTATGGATATATCACATTTTATTTACCCATTCATTAGTTAATAGACATTTGGCTTATTTTTACTTTTTGGCTATTATGAATAATACTATTACAAACACCTATATACAAGTTTTTATATGAATATATGTTTTCATTTCTCTTAAGCAGAACTGCTGAGTCAAATGGTAACTCTATGTTTAAAATTTTGAGGAACTGCCAAACTCTTTTCCCTTAGGGATTCTTAAAATGTAGTAGGGATATAGGGATGTACAGGGGTTCTTAAGGTCTTTGAGCACAAGTGGAATAATTAATCTTGTGAAGGAAAGGAGACAAACCTGTTCTAAGTCTGGAGGAATATTGGTGAGAATGGGTAGATGTAGCTGTAAATTAATTTGGTTCTATGTAGTGTAAGATTCAACACAATGAAAGCTTTTAAGACTGTGGCTGGAATAGGGCAGTCATTTTCATGTATGTGTTTTATTTTGTCTTGTTTTTTTTGAGACGGAGTCTTGTTCTGTTGCCCAGGAGGGCTGTGGTGTAATCTTGGCTCACTGGAACTTCTGCCTCCCAGGTTCAAGCAATTCTCCGACCTCATCCTCCCGAGTAACTGAAATCACAGGCACGCAACACCATGCCTGGCTAATTTTCATATTTTTAGTAGACACAGGGTTTCACCACATTGGCCAAGCTGGTCTCGAACTCCTGACCTCAAGTCAGGAGTGCTCCTGGTCTCAACTCCTTGGCTTCCCAAATTGCTGGGATTACAGGCATGAGCCACCATGCCAAGCCGTGTGTGTGTGTCTGTGTGTGTGTGTGTGTGTGTGTGTGTGTTTGTTCAAATCAGCAGATGAACATGGATATTGTAGTGTGTTTTGATCATACCTCCAAAAGAAGGGTAGATAGACAAAATGACATTAAAAAAAAAAGCCACACTCACTTGAGTAGACCTTCGTGTCTGCCGAGCTTGTCTGGAGCGTGCTTTCCGTAAAGACTCTGCTTCCTCATCCCGTACAGGAGTTAGATAGGACCTGCAGAGAAAAAAGAGTAATAGCAAAAGCAAGATCTTTGCTGCATGTACTTGAGGAATGACAAAGTGCTTCCACATACTGAAGAGATTTCCACATTCTAGGAATGAACTTAATGACAAGAAATGCTATCAACCATCAGTAAACATTACGGAATCCAAGTCATTACAGTAGTTCCCCCTTATCTGTGGTTTTGCTTTCTGTGGTTTCAGTAGCCCATGGTGAAATGTGGTCTGAAAATATTAAATGAAAATTTCCATCAACAAACAATTCATACATTTTCAATTGTGCACTGTTCTGATTAGTGTGGTGAAATTTCGTGCTGTTCCATTCTGTCCCTCCTGAGATGCAAATCATGCACTGTTGTGATATCACAGTGTTTATATTCAAGTAATACTTATTCTACTTAATAATGGCCCCAAAATGCAAGAGTAGTGATGCTGGCATTTTGTTATAACTGTTCTATTTTATTATTGGTTATTAGTATTATAGTTAATCTCTTACTATGCCTAATTATAAGTTAAACTTTAGCATAGATATGTATTTATAGGAAAAAATAGTATTTATATAGGGTTTTACACTATCTGTAGGTTCAGGCATCCACTGAAAGTCTTGAAAGGTATTGCACAGTTGCTCACTCCTGTAATCCCAGCACTTTGGGAGGCCAAGGTGGGCGGATCACCTGAGGTCAGGAGTTCAAGACCAACCTGACCAATATGGTGGAACCCTGTCTCTACTAAAAATACAAAAATTAGCCAGGCATGCTGGCAGGCACCTGTAATCCCAGCTACTCAGGAGGCTGAGACAAGAGAATCACTTGAACTTGGAGGCTGAGGTTGCAGTGAACTGAGATCGCGCCACTGTACTCCAGCCTGGGTGACAAGAGTGAAACTCGGTCTCAAAAGAAAAAAAAATGAAATGTGTCTCTGATGGATAACAGGGGACTATTGTATTTGTAAATGTATTATTATTCACACAGAATCATGTCATCTGTAAAATGAGAATTTTATTTCTTCTTTCCTATCCTTCCAATTTTTATTTCTTTTCTTGCCTTAATGCTTTGGCTAGAATCTCTAGGACATGCTAAAAAGCAGTGATGATAGTAAGCTTTCATTCTCTGTAATCCTGCTATCAAAGAGAATGCTTTCAGCATTTTTTCATTAAGTGTAATTTTTTTTGGTAAGATTTATGCAGATACTACTCATCAAACTAAAGCAACTGCCTTCTATTCCTATAGAAAACGGGCTAAGAGGGTTTCTCATTGCTGTTTTTTAATCATTAGTGTATGTTGAACTTTATCACATGCTATTCTTCCCCATATATTGAGATGATTGCTTTTCTCCTTTTTTGTGTTAGGAAGATGAATTACATTGAATAATTTTTGAATGATAAAGCAATGTTGAATTATTGGGACAAGCTCAACTTGGCCAAGATGTACCATCTTTTTATATAGATTTTTAAACATATTCGCTAATATTTAGTTTGGAATTTCTACCACATTCATGAAAGAAATTGGCTTATAATTTTCTCTTCTTGTAATATGCTAGTCAGCTTCATGAATTAAGGTTATATGAATTGCGAGTGTTCTCTACATGTCTATTTCTGTAAGAATTTGTGTAAGATTTGGGTTATTTCCTCCTTAAATGATTGGAAGAATTCACCAATCAAGTCATCTAGGTTTACAGTGTTCCCTGTGGGAGGGTTTTATTTTTGATTTTGGTTTTTATTTTTGAGACAGAGTCTTACTTTGTTGCCCATGCTGGAGTACAGTGGCGTGATGAGAGCTCACTGTACCCTTGATCTCCTAGACTCAAGCGATTTTCCCGCCTCAGCCTTGCAAGTAGCTGGGACTACAGGTGCACGCCACCACACGTGGCTAACTTTTTTTGATATTTAGTAGAGCAGGTCTCGCTATGTTGCCTAGGCTGATCCTGAACTCCTGAGCTCAAGCAATCCTCCCACCTCGACTTCCCAGAGTGCTGGTTTATAGGCGTGAGCCACTGTGCCCAGCCCTTATGGGAAAGTTTTAAATAAAGGGTTCAATTTCTTTAATAGAGTTAGGCTTATTCAAATTTTCTATTTTGGTTTTTTAAGAAATTTTCCATTTTGTCTATATTATCACATTTAGTGGCATAAAGTTGTTAATAATACCCTTAGACTATATTTAATTGTTATTTTAATATCTAGAGCAGTGGTTCTCAAAATGTTTTGGTCTCAAGATCCTTTAATATTTTTTAAAATTATTGAGAATCCCAGACAGCTTTTGTTTATATGGGGATTAATATTTATCTTACTAGAAATTAAAATTTAAAAATTAAAAAATGTATTTATTAATTTAAAAATAATAGCAGCCAGGAGCTCATGCCTGTAATCCCAGCACTTTGCGAGGCCCAGGCAGGCAGATGGCTTGAGCCCAGGAGTTTGAGACCAGCCTGGGCAACATGGCAAAACCTCGTCTCTTCAAAAAATACAAAAATTAACTGGGCACAGTGGCACGTGCCTCTAGTCCCACCTACTCATGAGGCTGAGATGGGAAGACAGCTTGAGCCTGGGTGGCAGAGGTTGTAGTGAGCTGAGAATGCACCACTGTACTTCAGCCTGGTTGACAGAGCCAGACCTTGTCTCAAATAATAATAATAGTAATATTAAAATAGCCCTAGATAAGTTGGAGTGATGTCAGCAGGATGGCCAAATTGAGTTACCTAAAGCCCATCCTCCCACAAAAAGGGACCAAAACAAAGAATAAACAACTATATTTCAATTAAAATGACCAAAGAAGTACTCTGGAGAGCACCAGGGGAACAGCAAAATCCCTGTGGAAGACAAAAGCCCAGGGCAGCACCATACAGAGGGGAGCAACGCATTCTGCTTCTGCCACACTGTCTCCCCTACCAGGATCAGCCTGGAGCCAGAGGGGGCTTCTTAAGGGGAAAAAGTAAGCTGGAGATCACCAGTGATCCCCATTGCTACCATAAATGCCAGAAATTCTTGCTATAGGAGAGTCCCCCAGTCCTCACAGGCCCTGAATCCAGCTTGGAGAGTAGCCAGGAGTTCATGCAGTTACTGTGCCTAGAGTAGGAGCTCACCTTGAGCATCCCCTGCCCCCGACCCTCACATCCTAAGCTGCTGCTACTCAGTACCATCTTGAAACTGGACGTACTACTAGAATGTGCCCTTCCCTGTGGTCCAGTATAGGAATGGACTTTCTCCATTCCTGTAGCCCTGCCATCACTCTACCATGTTCACATAGGTGCCTGTAGCACTATGATCCTAGCTGCCTGAAGCCTAGCCAGATGGAACAACTGAGACCTCTGCACTTGCACCCATGTGGCACACTACCCTCCCAACCCCAGGAAGAGCCAAACCTGCACAGGGGTGAAACTACCTAACTGCTGGCCAGTCCCCTCACCAGTACATACCTGCACTGCACAGCTAGCTGGCCAGTTGAACTCATGCACACCCATATCCAGCCCAACAACCAGTCCTACGGTGGTTCCACCCCTCAGACCACTGCAGAACCACCCAACCCTTCTGTGGCCACACACCACTGTGCCTGACAGCCAGTCTAGCAGCAACCCTGCCCCAAAGACAGACCACTGCAAGGTTGTGTAGCCTTGTTCTACCCATGCTTGGCCTGATAGTTGGTCAAGCAGCAGCCCTGTCCCCCTGGGTTTCTCAGGAGAAACCTTGTAGGCCAGGAGAGAATGAGATGATATATTCAAAGTTTTTTGGGAAAAAACCCTAACCTCTTAGCCAAGAATACTATATCCAGCAGAGCCATCATCTACCAATGAAGGAAAAATAAAGAGCTTCCCAGACAAACAAAAGCTGAGAAAAATTCATCACCACTAGACTAGCCTTACAAGAAATATTTAACAGAATGGTATAACTGGAAACAAAAGATAATTACTTTCATGAAAAGATGTGAAAGTATAAAACTCACCAATAGAGGTAAATTTATAAATCAAATTCAGACTAGCCCAGTGATGTAATGGTGCTATGTAAGTCTCTCAGTCCTCTAGTACGAAGGTTTAAAGTCAAAATGGTCAAAACCCATGACAGTTACAATTAGTAGCTAAGGAACACAATCACAGGTAAAAAAGTAAATTACAGCAACAAAAGAGAGAAGTCTAGAGTATTTTAATGCAACCAAAGTTAAGTTGCTATTAGCTTAAAACATTCTATTATAAGACTTATAATGTTAGCCCATGGTAGCCACAAAGAAAGAAATTACCGCAGAGGCACAAACAAGAAAGAGAAAGGAAACAAAGCTCAGCACCACAGAAAACCACCAGACCACAGAAATAAATAAAAGAGGAAGAAAGGAATGAAGGATCTATAAAACCACCAGAAAAAAATTAACAAAATGGCAGGAGTAAGACCTTCTGTATCAGTAATAACCTTAAATATAAATGGATTAAATTATCCAGTTAAAAGATACAGAGTGGCTGAATTGATTAAAAACAAGACCTAACTATATACTGCCTACAACAGACTCACCTAACCATTAAAGACAAACATAGACTAAAAGTGAAGGGAGGGGAAAAGATATTCCATGCAAATGGAAACAAGTGAGCAGGAGTAACCATGTCGGATAAAATAGACTTTAAGTCAAAAACTGTAAAAGAAGACAAAGAAGGTCATTAGACATTGATAAAGGGTATAAACAAGAGGATATAAAAACTATAAATACATCCATCCATCCAAGATCAGCATGCCCAGATATATAAAGCAAGTATTATTAGAGGTAAAGGGAGAAAGAGACTGCAATACAATAACAGTAGGTGTTAAATGTAGTGAACTCCAAGTTTCTCTTCAAAGAATCAGTATGTCAGTATATTCAGCTCTCTTATTCTCTGTTCTCCATTTTAAAGCTTAACTTCCTAGTTCTCTTTGCCCTCTTGCCTCTAGCTTCAGTAAACAATCCCCTCCTAGCCTCTATCATCTGCTCTGTCCTGAGTCACTCCTGATCACCTGCTCTGACCTGAGTTATCCTGAGTCAC